CAATAAGCAGTCGTTCGATGGACTGAATTGCACAAAACGCATGATCGCACCGGCTAGTCTGGTGCGTGTTGCTATTTATTTTTCTTTTGCTGACGGGCCTGACTCACTGGCGGGCGGCGGTGCTTTCCGGTTAGTGAAATTTACGGTTCGACTCCGTATTCGCACTGTAGGGAAATCTCAGGACGTGTCTTTTTTAGCAGTTTGTTTCAGGAGGCCCAGCACATACAGATGTAAATGGAATTCACTATGAAGCGGACCCGTTGCTTGTTGGCATTGCCTCGGATTATGGTAATAGATTGCCGATAATGAAGGTTGATCCTCACGATGCAATACTTTACCAGACCGAAAGGTTTCTGTTTTAGAGATGCACGAGATGATGTGTATTCGCTCACAGGGGGCGCAAATTTGCTTCAAATTATGGAAGCGTGTTGAATTTAAGGACTGCGGCCAGAAACAGAATGAGACCAGCTTAGCAAGATTTAACTACCAGATTCCCGCCCCCGTCATAGAAAGTAACGGAGAGGGTTTTGATTTTTGACTGTAGATCTTCTGATGGTTATTATTAGCTGTCGTGGCGAACATTTTCTTAAGCTTACTTCGGAGAAATGATGAGAAGCTGTGTTTGGCCGATTTCGTTTCTAAAGAGGTTTAGCAGTGTGTGTTATGTTGGCAACACCGACTTCTTATATTGGGGAGGGGGCGTAGTAGGCGTACAGTATTTTTGTCAAAAAAAATTTTTTTTTTTTTTTGCCCTGTCAGTTTTTAAAAGTTGAGCCAATAATTACAGGTATCATACGGCCGATTTTACTTATACATTACCAGTGCCGGCGGATGATGGTGAATATACACTTGTCCTCAAATTTTGTGAAGTGTATTTCCGCTCCTCTGATCAGAAGGTCACCGTTGCCAGTCTCTGCTTTCTGTTTCATTCCTTATCACTTAACGCATTTCATATATCCAATCCAGGTGCCCTATTGTGATCTCTGAATAATAACGATGTCGAGGTGTGGCGGGGTAGCCATGTTGCATCAGTGAGTGGGATAATCAGTGGACATTTACTATAAGTGAATAGTAATAACAGGAAAATGAGCGACCATTCGAGCATCGCTAGAAAAAAATGGCACGCATGCATCGAGCGTAAGTTGGTTATTAATTTTTGAGGCATACAGCTTTTAGCCAGAGGTCCTGGTATAGCTGATCACTGAGCGTATATGAATTATCTCACTCTTATCTCCTTCTCTCAGATTATAATATGTCGTGCTTTCGCCATTTAGGCTTCCATGATCAACCTGGTTGCTACAGTCTGCTCATAGACCTTCTGAACAACTAATGTGTGATCCAAAACACTAGCTCAGTTTCTAATCCATGCATCAGTTGTTCGGGCGGTCTGGTAATATCACATAATGCTGTTATTTTTTTTTTTTATTAAGTGTTTCAGTTTAGGTGTTCGATGTGCTATTGAACGGTGAGGTTGTGATACCAGAATTGGATATATTCAAAGAGGCAGGCGGAACTGGCGTTGCTTATGACCATTTAATAACATTTCATGTAAGTCCCGACTTTTCTGTTTTCTTAATTGTTCGGTTCTTTATTTTCTAACTTCTTTTTTGTCCGCATGAGATGGTGCTGTGACATATCGAGCCATAGTTTACATAACCTTTTTGGGCACCCATTCCTTGCGTATATATATGGGAAGGACGAGGGGGAGCGGAGGGGGGGGGGGGGGGGGG